CGGAGCTTGATGGCGGTGTTGAGCACAAAGGGCGTGACGAAGGCATGGATCATGCCCAGGCATTCCATGCGGCCAATGATCTCGTCCTCGGTAAATTGGGAATTGCGAACCTCGCCAACGGATTGGTCATCATCGTCAAAGAACAGAGGATCGTGGATCGATAGAGGTGACGTCATTGCCATTTGGATCGAGGGCGCAAAAATCGATCAGCAATTGGGGAGAGCTTTCGACAGCAGGAGACTTGCACTTGCGATCGATTCTCTCGATTTTTAGAATCTATTAGAACTGGAATTAGAGATGGAAGAGCTCCAAAATTGTAGAGTGGACCTCAGTTGTGATCGTCGATTTGTGGAGATGTGAGAGAGGAGGCTCCAATTTATAGCAGGGAGGGTTCACAGGAATAGGCTGGTTCCAGGGCTACCTTATTCTTCACGTGTTTGTGAATTTTATATGGCTGGCCATGCCTCCAGCAACTTACTAATTGAGAGATTTCCATCTCCAAATCGCATGGCAAAGCCCTAGTGCAATTTGGCACTAGGAATGTGAGCAAAGATCAGTCATATAGTGATTGCTAAGAGGAGTAATTGGTAGCAACAAACATGACAAGGGAGGCTGGGGCTGTCATGGATGACAACAGCTCACAACAATATATTTTCTGGTTTATCACTATTATAATTGATTTAAAATTTAGTAAAAATAATGACTACATATTTTTTGTTTTATTACTATTATAAATGTAAATTAATAAAATTTCCAATTTGACTTTAAATCTTAAATTTATAAAACTATTGTGTCTTAAATTATAGTTACAAATATCAATTATAAATAATAACAATCTCAATGTAATGCAATAACTTAAAACTCATGTACCCCTTGTGGGTCATTTCCCATTCTAATACCAAGAAGCAAGTTTTGTTTGTGACTAATGTTGGTGACCATGGGCAATGAACAAGATTGCACGCTGAGATAAGAGGGGTACTCATCTTCTCCTTGAATCTCCAGGGCCTTCTCTACTTCGGGCTTTTCCAAACATGTCACTGTGCTCTGCTGTGGAGGTTGATGGGCTCGAGTTGGAACCAGCCATCAATCTTTTCCATGGCTGAGATCCGCCATAACAGAACATGACATTGACATACATTCTAGAGGGACAGAGGTGAGTGAGGGATCTGGATAAATCCACGCCAAGCCAAAGAGCTTGGGAGGTATTGGCGAGGCTGGATTATTAGACTAAGAACATCATGATTGGATGTTTTCACAACTGTGGTCTTTTTTATGTATGACAGTGACTTGAACAATCCAACCAGATCCAAAAACCAGATTTTACTAAATGGACATTTCCTTGCATGGACAACTTTAATTAACCCTTGCATGGATTTTTGCTGTTAGAAACAAAGAAGAAGAAAAAGTTATTTGAACTAGAAAAAAGAAAAAATGAGATTATCCAACAAGCTCATGTGTCTTTGGCTAACAATAATTATGTGTTGGACTTGTCGTCATTGGTGTCCACAGCCTGTGTTCCTGGTTGCTCCAAGATGCTAAGTCTTGCATCCGGCTGGGCCAGTCAGCATTTAGTCTCCTTGCAAAATCTTGGGCTTCCTTAAATCTCAATCAATGTATGTCACCTTGAACGAAACTAGCGCCTGCAAATTGGATTGGAGATGAAAAACCTTGCTTTTTGAGCTCTAGAGACGAGAACAAAGCTCTCAAGGAAAACAATGTGGAAGAAGGGAGTATACACCCACATACCTCCTTTGAGAAGCTGTCCCGAAGAAGGGGACGTGATTCTCTGGAACACCATGATCTCAGCCTAACTCTTCCTGAATCAGAGAACATTTGAGTGAAAGGAATACGAAGTTAAAAAACAGAGCTGATTTTACAAATGTCGTGGTTCCACTCCCCCGCAAGTATATCAATGTATTGCGCTCCCACGGCACCACTATATGAATCGACATCACAGCTTTGGGAGGGCGATGAAGGCTATGATCTCCATCTGGCGATGGTGATGGAGTGGCAATGCCATCGATTCGTGTGTGAACAAAGACTCTATTTCCTGCAGCTCCATCCCCCAAGAAGGTAGAGCTTGCTGCCCAGAGCCTGGCACACGAATCCCCATGCCTTTGGTGAGGAGGAATCCGGTGCCACTGGGTATCAAAAGCTCTTATCGTCCAAGCCCTGTTTGGCTCTGGAGTCTGGCAAATAGTTGATGAGCAACTGTGAAAGGAGCAGCGCAAGTCTCGTGCACAGGGAAGCGTGCCGGATCGACGAGCTAAGCACCGGCAATTCACATTCTTCTTGCTATCACTATATGCCTGGTTTGGGCATATTGACAAGGCAATCAAGGTCTTTCACACGATTCAGGATCCCAATGTCTTCTCCTGGAAAATCCTGTTACAGGCCTTTTGCGATGACAATCGCGTTGCTGAGGATGGAAACACCTTTGATTCTCTGCAGGAGAGGGACGTGGTGACCTGGACTGCGATGGTGATTGCATATGCCCGCATTGGGCATCGTTTGCGCCAAAGTTTTTCTTCACGGGCCGCGGCGAAACCAGGTGGAATGCCTCTCATC